CCACTGCAGCAAGGACAACAACCACAGCAGCAAGGACAACAACCACAGCAGCAGCAAGGACAACAACCACTGCAGCAAGGACAACAACCACAGCAGCAAGGACAACAACCACAGCAGCAAGGACAACAACCACTGCAGCAAGGACAACAACCACAGCAGCAACGACAACAACCACAAGCAGCAAGGACAACAACCACAGCAGCAAGGACAACAACCACTGCAGCAAGGACAACAACCACAGCAGCAAGGACAACAAACACAGCAGCAAGGACAACAACACTGCAGCAAGGACAACAACCACTGCAGCAAGGACAACAACCACAGCAGCAAGGACAACAACCACAGCAGCAAGGACAACAACCACAGCAGCAAGGACAACAACCACAGCATCAAGGACAACAACCACTGCAGCAAGGACAACGACCACAGCAGCAAGGACACGACCACAACAGCAGCAAGGACAACAACCACAGCAGCAGCAAGACAACAACCACAGCAGCAAGGACAACAACCACAGCAGCAACGACAACAACACAGCAGCAGCAAGGACAACAACCCAGCAGCAGCAAGGACAACAACCACAGCAGCAAGGACAACAACACCACAGCAGCAACGACAACAACCACAGCAGCAAGGACAACAACCACAGCAGCAAGGACAACAACCACAGCAGCAAGGACAACAACCACAGCAGCAAGGACAACAACCACAGCAGCAATGACAACGACCACAGCAGCAAGGACAACAACCACAGCAGCAAGGACAACAACCACAGCAGCAAGGACAACAACCACAGCAGCAAGGACAACAACCACAGCAGCAACGACAACAACCACAGCAGCAAGGACAACAACCACAGCAGCAACGACAACAACCACAGCAGCAAGGACAACAACCACAGCAGCAGCAAGGACAACACCACAGCAGCAGCAAGGACAACAACCACAGCAGCAAGGACAACAACCACAGCAGCAAACGACAACAACCACAGCAGCAAGGACAACAACCCACAGCAGCAAGGACAACAACCACAGCAGCAAGGACAACAACCACAGCAGCAAAGACAACAACCACAGCAGCAATGACAGCGCCCACAGCAGCAAGGACAACACCACAGCAGCAAGGACAACAACCACAGCAGCAAGGACAACAACCACAGCAGCAAGGACAACAACCACAGCAGCAAGGACAACAACCACAGCAGCAAGGACAACAACCACAGCAGCAAGGACAACAACCACAGCAGCAAGGACAACAACCACAGCAGCAAGGACAACGACCACAGCAGCAAGGACAACAACCACAGCAGCAAGGACAACAACCACAGCAGCAAGGACAACAACCACAGCAGCAAGACAACAACCACAGCAGCAATGACAACAACCACAGCAGCAAGGACAACAACCACAGCAGCAGGACAACGACCACAGCAGCAAGGACAACCACCACAGCAGCAAGGACAACGACCACAGCAGCAGCAAGGACAACAACCACAGCAGCAAGGACAACAACCACAGCAGCAAGGACAACAACCACAGCAGCAATGACAACAACCACAGCAGCAAGGACAACAACCACAGCAGCAATGACAACAACCACAGCAGCAAGGACAACAACCACAGCAGCAAGGACAACGACCACAGCAGCAGCAAGGACAACAACCACAGCAGCAAGGACAACAACCGCAGCATCAAGGACAACAACCACAGCAGCAATGACAACAACCACAGCAGCAAGGACAACAACCACAGCAGCAAGGACAACGACCACAGCAGCAAGGACAACGACCACAGCAGCAAGGACAACAACCACAGCAGCAAGGACAACAACCACAGCAGCAAGGACAACAACCACAGCAGCAGCAAGGACAACAACCACAGCAGCAAGGACAACAAACACAGCAAGGACAACACCACAGCAGCAAGGACAACAACCACAGCAGCAAGGACAACAACCACAGCAGCAAGGACAACGACCACAGCAGCAAGGACACAACCACACACAGCAAGGGACAACAACCACAGCAGCAATGACAACGAACCACAGCAGCAAGGACAACAACCACAGCAGCAAGGACACCAACCACAGCAGTAACGGACAACAACCACAGCAGCAAGGCCAACAACCACAGCAAGCAAGGACAACAACCACAGCAGCAAGGACAACAACCACAGCAGCAAGGACAACAACCACAGCAGCAAGGACAACGACCACAGCAGCAAGGACAACAACCACAGCAACAAGGACAACAACCACAGCAGCAAGGACAACGACCACAGCAGCAAGGACAAACAACCACACCAAGGACAACAACCACAGCAAAGACAACAACCACAGCAGCAAGGACAACAACCACAAAGCAGCAGGACAACAACCACAGCAATGACAACAACCACAGCAAAGACAACAACCACAGCAGCAAGACACAACCACAGCAGCAAGGCCAACAACCACAGCAGCAAGGACAACGCCACAGCAGCAAGGCAACGACCACAGCAGCAAGGACAACAACCACAGCAGCAAGGACAACAACCACAGCAGCAATGACAACAACCACAAGCAGCAAGGACAACAACCACAGCAGCAAGGACAACAACCTCAGCAAGGACAACAACCACAGCATGCAAGAACACCAACCACAACAAGGACAACAAGACAACAACCACCACCATGGTTGCAGGGTGACGGTCTCTGTAATACACATGTGACTTTTGGGACTACACGTGCATATCAACCCTGGCTAACACCTATATTGAGACAGTGTTTGCACAACCAGGTGGCGCTGCCACCCACAGGGAAGCAGCCAAATCCCTTAAGTACAGAGAACTGGATCACCACTACAATCTTGTCCCCATTGCTTCTGAGACACTCGGCGCCTGGGTAAGAGTGCAACCAGTTTTTTTAAGGAACTAGGTTCTAGGCCTAATTGAAACAACAAGAGACTCTAGAGCTGCCAGCTTCCTTTTCCAGCGCCTCAGTGTAGCAATACAGAGAGAAATGCACACTGCATTCAGTTTCTGCCCGCCATCGGAGGAGCTGGAGGAACTCGACAACTTATATAATCATCTTGTACCCTAATGTAACTCCTTTTTTGTACCAAAGTTTAAATGAAACAATATATATTTGGTATATACAAAAGAATTGGGGTGATAGGAGAAGAAAATATTAGTGTTCAGTCAGAATCACAAGGTCTTCTCTGAATACTCCTTATTTTTCTTCTCCGAGATATGGGTTCCCCTCATTTTTCACCATAGTTGTTACCCTCACCAACCTTTCATATATATATATATATATAGATATTTATATATATATATATATATATATATATATATATATATATATATATGTCGTACCTAGTAGCCAGAATGCACTTCTCGGCCTACTATGCAGGCCCCGATTTGCCTAATAAGCCAAGTTTTCCTGAATTAATATATTTTTCTCTATTTTTTTTTTCTCATGAAATGATAAAGCTACCCATTTCATTACGTATGAGGTCAATTTTTTTTTATTGGAGTTAAATTAACGTAGATATATGACCGAACCTAACCAACCCTACCTAACCTAACCTAACCTATCTTTATAGGTTAGGTTAGGTTAGGTAGCCGAAAAAGTTAGGTTAGGTTAGGTTAGGTAGGTTAGGTAGTCGAAAAACAGTTAATTCATGAAAACTTGGCTTATTAGGCAAATCGGGCCTTGCATAGTAGGCTGAGAAGTGCGTTCTGGCTACTGAGAAGTACGACATATGGCTATATATATATATATATATATATATATATATATATATATATAATATATATATATATATATATATATATATATATATATATATATATATATAAGCCCGTAGCCAGGAAGACAGACCAGAATCGGACTTCGTTTGTGCTCAGTGTGGGATGGACTGCCACTCTGGGATTGGCCTCATCAGTCCAACCAGACGTTGCAACCAGGATTGACAACCAACTCCATAGGCTCCCGAGACTGAAGGATGCCTACTATATATATAAAAAAAAGGTTGTGAGGGTACCACCTATGGTGAAAATGTGGGGACATTTTTCAGAGAGAGAAGATGAGAGCGAGAGGAGAGAGAGAGAGAGAGAGAGAGAGAGAGAGAGAGAGAGAGAGAGAGAGAGAGAGAGGAGAGAGAGAGAGGAGAGAGAGAGAGAGAGAGAGAGAGAGAGAGAGAGAGAGAGAGAGAGAGAGAGAGAGAGAGAGAGAGAGAGAGAGAGAGAGAGTAGAGAGATAGAGAGAAGAGCGAGAGAGAGAGAGAGAGAGAGAGAGAGAGAGAGAGAGAGAGAGAGAGAGAGAGAGAGAGAGAGAGAGAGAGAGAGAGAGAGTTGAAATGCAAGAGGCCCCAACTGTCCTGCAGGACTCCACAAGCCTTGAGGTGTCAACAATTACTCCTGGAAGAGGTTTTTGCAGAGTTAGCAACAAAAACAACCGCCATAAACCATAACGGAGGCATTCGCTTACACACCTTCAGTGAGGCAAGATGCACAGGTTAGAGACGACGACGTTTCGGTCCGTCCTGGACCATTCTCAAGTCGATCGACTGTGAGAATGGCCCAGGACGGACCGAAACGTCGTCGTCCCTTCACCTTCTAGTGTGTGGTCTGCTCAACATACTTTAGCCACGCTATTGTGACTCATCGCCTGCATATGCACACGTTCCCACCTGCCTCCAAAGGGAAGCAATGGCCAACTATCAGCAGTTAGGGATCCTCGGTCATTAGGGCGATAAATGAAAGGGGGGTATATAACCTAGTTCGCTTGCCTCCTCCTGCAAAACACACTCATCGCTAAAATGATTAGAACAACACTTCAGAAATGTACAACGTAAGAACACAAATCACCAAGAGATTTGAAGAGCGGAAATACCGCAAGTGGTATTCGAGTCCTCACAAGTGACTCACAAGTTTCACTGCTAGAAACTCTGCCACAGCGACCAAGAACACAATGTGAGGGGGAGTGTAAAACCCCACAAGATATAACACAAAATACACCTTATCTCTCAGTCTTATCGTTTCCTTTGTCTATCAGCCAGGCCGGCCGAACGTCCCACGTCAGTAACTCTCTGTGCCCCAGTTAGCAAAGACAGCGTTTCCTTTGCGAGTAATTTTGGAGCTCTTCCCATCCGGTAAGTCTAGTTTACCCCCCCCCCCCCTGTGTAAACTGTTTCCCCTGTGTTATTGAATAAGTAAACTGTTTACTTGCGTACCTTAAGAAGGAAAAACTGAGGAGAATTTTTTCGACGTGGGTAATATTAATATTTCAATTTGTGTAAGAAATTAGTATAACTTATTTGCAGTTAAATTCACTTTTCCCACATAGGCGTTTTAAGAGCTTTTCCCTCCGTGCTTCAGGAAACAATAATATGGATATCCAGTGGGCATTGGAATTAATGGTGACCTTCAGGACGTCTCTGAGCTGATTACTTGATCTTATTAAGACGTAACTTGCCTCTGTTTATTGATATTTATTAGAGCTTCCCTCGTGAGAGCTATTCCTGGGCTCTTTACATCATAAAACACGTTTCTAAGGCGAGAAAAGATGGTGGCCAGTGGAAGTCTTGACGTCATCTCCATCGTCATTGCATCACGTGACAGCACATATCATCACATTGATATTGAGCACAATTGATATTGCGCACAATATCAATTAGAACAATTAGATTGCAGCAATTAGGTGAAATATCAGCCAATCAACATGCAGGCAGATGGCGTAATGAAATCCCTCTATGCGTTTGAGTGGCCCTCGTAGTGTAACTGGCCATCAACATTTGCGGTGGCTGAAGGAATGTATTATTGAAGGTTCAAAGCAGATTATTGATCTCATATCTCTGGGTTTAAATATTGCCTTACATAACAACTGCAGCTATTTGGCATAATCTACCTGCATTTAGCATCATCTAACCTGCATTTAGCATTATCTTCCATCATTTAGCATCATCTACCAGCATTTAGCATCATCTAACCTGCATTTAGCATTATCTTCCATCATTTAGCATCATCTACCAGCATTTAGCATCATCTAACCTGCATTTGGCATTATCTACCAGCATTTAGCATCATCTACCAGCATTTAACATCATCTACCGGTAGAAGCGTGTTCTTTTGCTCATAATACTTAAACATCACAATTGTTTTATGTGTGACTTGGCTGCCATGGTTATTTATATGAGTGTCATGAGTAAATTTGTCAATTCAAATGAGAAAAACACCATCGCCCTGAAGCCTGTGCTTGAGCGTCTTTAATCACTACCAGATAGTGATAATGATAGTGATAAAGCAACATCTGATAGTGCTGCTTTATTGTTGTCCCCTGACGCATTACAGTAAAGTTCAAAAAATCAATATTGTATGCGTATCTCCTCTGATTATAATATTGCCTGAGATGTTTAACAATCAACATGTCTAGGCTACGCTTGAAAGAATCCAGTGATATTAGATTTATTCAGGCGATATTCAGAAGTTTCCAGTGGTGCTATTTAACCCATGTGTCCGGTAGTGAACACAACGGGTAATAAATGATAACCTGAGTACCAAATTTTTATTATAAATGTGCCATAAATTTACAGCACTTATTACTCTAAGGAATGCGTGCACTTGCCGTTGATTAATGGACATTGATTAATTCTATGTTGGTTGACCCACTATGTGGCGTACATTAGTTTATTGATTACAAAACGGCTTGAAGTAGAGGCCTGTTACATCGGCATATTTCTCAGCGATGGATTATATCTCATTTGCTGCTTCTTTCCCATTGGATTTCACGCAGGAAGTTCCTCATCTGGCCGTAGTCTCTATGTTTCCAATCTCTCCCTTCTTCTTTAACAGATTTATTGGTTTAACCAACTTCTCCAGCTCCGCAATGTATTCAAGCATGACAGTGCCATGATCACTAGCTGCTAGAGGCATCACATACTCTATTTTGTCAACATCTGCCTCATTCTGGAGCAAACACCAGGGCTAGTGTTGCTGGTGGGTCCCTTCCTCTTGCTCTTATTGATTCTATAATATGATGCATCAAGAAGTGTTTGTCTGCTGCGTCTACTAGTTTTGCTCTCCATGTTCCATCACCTCCCCCCCCCCCCCTCCCTCCCCTCGTGCGGGGATCCGTATTTACCCAGTCTGTTTCCATGTGGTTAAAATCCCTTGGTATTAACATTTTTAGCTCTTGTTGTTATTCACAATGTCGCTGCATTTTTCCATTAGCTTTAGCCAATGTTTACTGCATTTGTCGTATTCTTCCCAAGGGCTTCTATTGTTTGATGTGGGAGTGTAGCTGACTGCTACCACCATCTCCATGTCTCCCACTGTGGCCTAGCATGTTCTCCTGCTGGTTGTATTTCTCTGATAAGTTTACTGCTTCAAAGCTGCAGTGTAGCTGTAGCAACAAGGCCACACAGCCTCCTCCTCCTCCTCCTCCTCCTCCGTTCACCATACATATCCTTCTTACTTGATATCCTCGTGGGAAGATTACGTTTCCTATAACGCTTTCTAGTTTCATTTCAGTTATCAGGATGATGTGTGACTGTTCTTCTGGTAGTCTTTCCTCTAACTCTACCCCTTTATTCGTAATTCCATCTGCATTTGTGTACATTAATATTATGCTATGCACAACTGGGCTGCTTTTGTTTTTCTTGAGGGGGTATTTTTTCACGTGGCTGCATAACCATGCATTGGGGAAAGGGAGGGTAGGATCATCTAGTCACTTGTGTCCTCATGTTTGTAAGTGTTCCCCATTAGACTGGCCTCTGCCCTATTATTTCCTGCTGTAGTACTACCTGTTGCTTCATTAGGCTCTGTAGTACTCTCTGCTCTCAGATTTGCTTCTTCTTCTTTTGGTCTCCTTGCATCTTTCGCTACTACCATTGTTCTTTCCCTGCCTCCCTATACTCCTTTGACATATCCTGTCTAAGGAGTACCTAAGGAAAAGTACCATTGCATGGTACTTTTCCTCCTCCATCAAATATCTATTTTCTGCAGGTATTTGTTTAACTGACATGTTGTTTGTATAAATAACTTTCACTAGTCGATTTCTTTCACTCAGAAATCTACTCAGACTTCTGACTTCTCCATTTCCATTGTTGTATCTCCGGCTCTGGAGGTGGTGGTGGTGGTGGAGGTAGTTGTGTGGTGGTGGGGGAGGTAGTTGTGTTGTGGTGGTGGAGGTAGTTTGTGTGGTGGTGGTGGTGGTAGTTGTGTGGTGGTGGTGGAGGTAGTTGTATTGGTGGTGGTGGATGGTAGTGGTGTGGTGGTGGTGGTGGGTGGTAGGGGTGAGTTGTTTAGTGGTGGTGGAGGTGTGTGTGTAGTGGTGGTGTGGTGGTGGTGGAGGTGGAGGTAGTTGTGTGGTGGTGGTGGTGGGTTGTTGTGTGGTGGTGGTGATCCAGGTGTGGTAGTTGTGTGTGGTGGTGGTGATCCAGGTGTGGTAGTTGTGTGTGGTGGTGGTGATCCAGGTGTGGTAGTTGTGTGTGGTGGTGGTGGAGGTAGTTGTGTAGTGGTGTGGGGGAGGTAGTTGTGTGGTGGGTGGTGGAGGTAGTTGTGTTGTGGTGGTGGTGGAGGTAGTCGTGTAGTAGTGGTGGTGGAGGTAGTTGTGTAGTGGTGGTGGTGGAGGTGGTGTAGTGGTGGTGGAGGTAGGTGGTAGTGTGTAGTGGTGGTGGAGGTAGTTGTGTAGTGGTGGTGGTGGAGGTAGTTGTGTAGTGGTGGTGGAGGTAGTTGTGTAGTGGTGGTGGAGGTAGTTGTGTAGTGGTGGTGGTGGTGGAGGTAGCTGTGTAGTAGTGGTGGAGGTAGTTGTGTAGTGGTGGTGGTGGAGGTAGTCGTGTAGTGGTGGTGGTGGAGGTAGTCGTGTAGTGGTGGTGGTGGAGGTAGTCGTGTAGTGGTGGTGGTGGAGGTAGTTGTGTAGTGGTGGGTGGTGGGTGGAGGTAGTTGTGTAGTAGTGGTGGTGGTGGTAGTTGTGTAGTGGTGGTGGAGGTAGTTGTGTAGTGGTGGTGGAGGTAGTTGTGTAGTGGTGGTGGTGGAGTTGTGTAGTGGTGGTGGTGGTGGAGGTAGTTGTGTAGTGGTGGTGGTGGTGGAGTTGTGTAGTGGTGGTGGTGGAGGTAGTTGTGTAGTGGTGGTGGTGGAGGTAGTTGTGTAGTGGTGGTGGTGGAGGTAGTTGTGTAGTGGTGGTGGTGGAGGTAGTTGTGTAGTGGTGGTGGTGGAGGTAGTTGTGTAGTGGTGGTGGTGGTGGTAGTTGTGTAGTGGTGGTGGTGGTGGTAGTTGTGTAGTGGTGGTGGTGGTGGTAGTTGTGTAGTGGTGGTGGTGGTAGTTGTGTAGTGGTGGTGGTGGAGGTAGTTGTGTAGTGGTGGTGGAGGTAGTTGTGTAGTGGTAGTGGTGGTGGTAGTTGTGTAGTGGTGGTGGGTGTGTGGTGGTGGTGGTGGTAGTTGTGTAGTGGTGGTGGTGGAGTTGTGTAGTGGTGGTGGTGGAGGTAGTTGTGTAGTGGTGGTGGTGGTGGTGGTAGTTGTGTAGTGGTGGAGGGTTGGTAGTGGTGGTAGTTGTGTAGTGGTGGGGTGATGGTAGTTGTGTGTGGTGGTGGTGGAGGTAGTTGTGTAGCGGTGGTGGTGGTGGTAGTTGTGTAGTGGTGGTGGAGGTAGTTGTGTAGTGGTGGTGGTGGTGGTAGTTGTGTAGTGGTGGTGGAGGTAGTTGTGTAGTGGTGGTGGTGGTGGTAGTTGTGTAGTGGTGGTGGTGGAGGTAGTTGTGTAGTGGTGGTGGTGGAGGTAGTTGTGTAGTGGTGGTGGTGGAGGTAGTTGTGTAGTGGTGGTGGAGGTAGTTGTGTAGTGGTAGTGGTGGTGGTAGTTGTGTAGTGGTGGTGGTGGAGGTAGTCGTGTAGTGGTGGTGGTGGTGGTAGTCGTGTAGTGGTGGTGGTGGAGGAAGTTGTGTAGTGGTGGTGGTGGTGGTAGTCGTGTAGTGGTGGTGGTGGTGGTATTTGTGTAGTGGTGGTGATGGTGTGGTGGCAATTCCGTAGTGACATTGACAACACCGATCCTTCTGACAATTATGATTAAATAACGATCAGTTTATCTGGTGTACAAAACTATTATAAATTAACCCCAAAAAAATGAAAATGATTTCTGTGCATTGTTGTTGCAGGAGGTGAAGGAGAGAGGCAAACACACTGACAAGTGAACAAGAAACAAGGACAACAACCACAACCACCACAACAACCACAACCACCACAACAACCACAACAACCACCACCACCACCACCACCATGGTTGCAGGAGCGATGGTGAGTGGCTGCTCTCTAATACACATGTGACTTATTGTGACTTGAATTTAATTGCAATGTAATGTTTATTGTATATTTTAAAGGTGTAAAGGTGAGAGATATTAAACATGTGTTGTGTAAGTGTAGTAGTTTAGTATTCACTCAGAAATCTACTCAAACTTCTGACTTCTCCAGTTCCATTGTTGCATCTCCGGCCTCTGGTGGTGGGGGAAGGTGGTATTGGTGGTATATATATATATATATATATATTCATATATATATATATATATATATAATATATATATATATATATATATATATATATATATATATATATATATATATATATATATCATATATTCAGTCGCATATAGTCCTGGGGACCATTCAGGCTTGTTTGCATATATATATATATATATATATATATATATATATATATATATATATATATATATATATATATATATATATATATATATATATATATATATATATCCCAAATTCTGCTCGTCATATGCCAGCTCCTTGTCATTTTAACCCTTCCAAATGCCAAGCAGCACCATTTCAGTCCTTTCTGCTGATAGTTAGCCCCTAACCTTCCTCCTCCTCCCCAGATGTGCGGAGCCTTCATCACCAAGAAGGTCCCTATCGCCCTGCTGGTCGGCTCCGCAATCTTCCTCATCAGTGGGAGCGTGTGCTTGGGTCTGTACAGCAACACCCACTGCGACTGGTATAACTCATATAACTATTGTGACAATTTCTACAGGGAAAACCTCCTCATTAGTGGTATCAGCTGCATGGTGTCTGCAGGTGGGTATAGTTCCAGTGGGAGAGAGTTGTGATAGTGGTGAGTAGCGTGTGTGTGTGTATGTAGGGGAGAGGGGTTAGGTTTGTATATGAGTGGTTGTGGCTGGATATATGTAAGAGCTGCCTCAACGAGGGAATATGTGTCTTCTGCTGCATCCTGTATTCTCTGTATCATTTTCTGTTTAGGGTAATTTGTCCATATTTCGATGGGAAATTAAATTAGGCACAGAGATATTTTTTGGGTTTAAATCACATGTAAATTGATGTAATCGATAGCTAAAGCTCTATCTTGCAAATCTCATGTTCTAGTTTTTACTCCACCAATTTTGTTCTTGTTGTCAGGCACCACAAGTCGTGATGCAGGTTTATTTAAAGTGTTTTCCTAGTGAGTGTATGTGATCTTTAGAAAAATAACGTGGAGAGAGTTAGATAAATATATTTTTGTGGAGAAAGCTGGAGTTAATGTATAGTCATATGTTGTTGTAGCTAATGATTGGAATTCTTAAAAGTACCTCTCTTGAGACGTGAGAGAGAGAGAGAGAGAGAGAGAGAGAGAGAGAGAGAGAGAGAGAGAGAGAGAGAGAGAGAGAGAGAGAGAGAGAGAGAGAGAGAGAGAGAGAGAGAGAGAGAGAGAGAGAGAGAGAGAGAGAGAGAGAGAGAGAGAGAGAGAGAGAGAGAGAGAGAGAGAGAGAGAATAACCCCAAGTTAACCCATCCTCCAGGTATATTCCTGGTGGTGTCTCTCTGGATGTTCTACAAGATCTCCAACAACAGCGCACCACAGGGGAACACTTACCCTGGTGTACGTGTGGTGCAGGGAGCAGCCCTTCCCCATCAGACCTACGTCTACCCTGCCCAGCACTACCCTGCCCAGCACTACCCTGCCCAGCAGCTGGCTATAGGGTTTACAGTACAGCAGCAGCAGCAGCAGCAGCAGCAGCAACAGCAGCAACCGCCAGCGTACTATTAATTGGCCACCATGACTATCTTGCGTCCCAAATGAGGACTAGCTGATATGATCGAAGATCTACTGATTTTGTCTTTCTTCGTATAGCATCTTCCTCTTTTAATCCCCCCCCCTCTTCTTCCTCCTCGTTTATCTCTTCTTCCTTCACTTCTTCCTTGTCTTCGTCTTCACTAACATCTGATTTTATTTAGGAATAATTCATAACTTTTTTAACATAATATCTTATTGGTACTCCTTCTATCATGACACATGATACTGGCCAGCCTCTGGACACATGATACTGGCCAGCTTCTGGACACATGATGCTGGCCAGCCTCTGGACACATGATACTGGCCAGCCTCTGGACACATGATACTGGCCAGCCTCTGGACACATGATACTGGCCAGCCTCTGGACACATGATACTGGCCAGCCTCTGGACACATGATACTGGCCAGCCTCTGGACACATGATACTGGCCAGCCTCTGGACACATGATACTGGCCAGCCTCTGGACACATGATACTGGCCAGCCTCTGGACACATGAAACTGGCCAGCCTCTGGACACATGATACTGGCCAGCCTCTGGACACATGATACTGGCCAGCCTCTGGACACATGATACTGGCCAGCCTCTGGACACATGATACTGGCCAGCCTCTGGACACATGATACTGGCCAGCTTCTGGACACATGATACTGGCCAGCCTCTGGACACATGATACTGGCCAGCCTCTGGACACATGATACTGGCCAGCCTCTGGACACATGATACTGGCCAGCCTCTGGACACATGATACTGGCCAGCCTCTGGACACATGATACTGGCCAGCCTGTGGACACATGATACTGGCCAGCCTCTGGACACATGATACTGGCCAGCCTCTGGACATAATGTGGCCAGTGCAGTATCCACACCTGCACAACAGGTGTCATAATGTTAACAGCAAGTTATATGGGGTATTTAATTAAATATTTAATATATAATGAAGTTTCTATTTTGCGATCAATAAAACCAATAAAAGATGTTTTAGAGAGTTTATATTAGTAACACAATTGTTAATTATATTACTATTAATACTGTGATCATTAGTATTAGGTAAAATTGGTGATTTATATTTAATATTGACATTACCGGTAATAATAAATGATTAATAATTCTTATTATCTGTAATAGTGTCACTATTGTCACAACATTGCATGGGTTGCCCGGCCTCGCTGCCAGTTCCGTGGTAATGTGGATACCTTGATACCTTCTATAGTATAGGAGGTATCAAGGAGTGTATATAGCGGTGCATAGAATACTCTATACACTCCTATACCATGGCAAAGGGACCGAGGGTAAGGTGTAACACCTTGTGTGGGTACCATGTTGATGGGTTCAGGACCCCGTGTGGACTCAGTTGAACCCCAGATTGCATTGTTTATAGCGTATTGTTGTCCAGTGGTTCAAGGCATGTGTTTTGGGTTACCCAGGGTGTAGGTTCGAATCCACCTCATGTCTCCAAGTGATTTTCTCAATAATAATAATAATTATTATTATTATTATTATTATTATTATTATTATTATTATTATTATTATTATTATTATTATTATTATTATTATGATGAGAAAATCATACGGAGGAATGCGGGGATTTGAAACAGCGTTCTAGTGACTAAAAGACGCTCGTCTTCAACCTGTCCTCTTAAAAAGAACGTCGCTTTTGGCCGTTTATCCGTATGGCCGAATTTGGACGTAATTTGAAAAGGAAAAAAAAAAGGAAAATAAATTTGGGAATTTTTTTTTTCAACAACAGTAAGTTAAGGGTCCTCTGATAGGTTAGGTGGGCAGGAAATTCTCATAAAGTTTCAAAACGTTATGAAAAACGTTAATTTAAAGTGTCCTCTTATAACCTCTGCGCGTACGCCGGACGACTCAAACAGAAAACGGAGCAGAACGTCACTTTTGTGAGTCGATTTCATTTCAAATTACGTCCAAATTTGGCCATAACGCGCATACGAGCCAAAACTGACGTTATTTTTAAGAGGACGGGTTGTGCTTTAACCCACTCGGCCACGATAGGACAAAAGCTATTCAGCCCGCAAGTCAAGTGAGTCCACTGGGAAAGTCTGGATGCCCGTGCCACAACCAGGAATTTTACGAATAACCCGCCTACATTCTGACCTGTGGAGTAATGATCTTCTCCACCTCTCGCTCTTCCTCAGAACACAAGGAAATTCCTCTGGCGTGGTACACCAATCAGACCAATATTTGGAGCACTGTGGGGAGTTGAGGCAAGCGTCTGGGAGTCACTAGAATAAGTTCTAATTGGCATTAGTGCCTAGTAGCGAAACGCTAACATTATGTACTTGACGGAGTACTGTACATCCAGACTGGCGTCATCCGGCCAGTTGTGCTCTTGAGGCCAACACAACACTCTCGTAGCTTTTATCACAGCTAATTTTGGAAACAGTATTAAGCTAAAAAAAGTATTGACACATGAAAAATTAAAATGATGTTATAAATGGCTTATAACACACAACAGCATTTATTGAAACTATAGAATCTGCAAAGTTCTTCAGAGAACCTCTGTAACCTTCAAATGGGGATGTTTGTTTGTTTGTTTAAACGTTAGCAGTCAAACTCTTTGGGTAACCTCAACCAACTTTTCACAATGACACATGGGAGGTAGTGAGCTGTCAAAGGCTGAGCGAGGTTAGCCCCCACTGTCCCCCTTTTAAGAAGACTCGACTCTTGTTGCGACTCCCAGCAATTAATATGATGTCTTCCACGGATATTTTCAATAGTGAGAGAGGGGTGAGAGAGAGAGGGATAGAGGGAAGGGGTGTAAAACAATAGCATACAGGGGAGATAGACCCGAGAACCGCCGGGAACCTTAGCTCTAACACAGCATATGAATAACAATAACTATTGGGCTTACTACATAACTACAGAGTAGTAAACGAAAATGTATTGGTGAAAATTAACGTATAAGTTGTAGTTGTGAATTAGTCGTAGTTGTAGAAAAGGCAGTAGTTGCGAAAGTATTGAAAAATTACTTTTGTGTAGTTGTAGCAGACTTCATGAAACACGTGGAAATAGTAACATTGGTAATGCTGGTTGAGTGTGAGTAGTTCTCAGTGAGGCACTATTCTGTGGAGCACTAAGAGTGCAGGTTACAATATTGGCAACACTAGTAGTAATATTGGCAGGGGTTTAGTGACGTCAGAAATAGAGTAGTTAGTGGCTGTATGGGGCAGTAGCAGCAGAAGTAGAATTGTTCTCAGTAGAAGCAGAAGACGTGTTAGCAACAAAAGTAGTGATAGTTTAAGGCAGAGTTGCTAGCAGAAGCAGCAGTACAATAATATCATTATGAACCACACACACATATAAGCATGTCCCTAGTGCCTAGTTCCCTCATACTAGCCACATGAGTTTGTGATGCTTTACAGTGTTTCTCATTCCTGTTGGGTGATTGGCTGTCATATCAGCAGCTATCTGTGGAATGTTTACCTGGAATAGCCTTCGGTGTTCAAGCATACTGCGCACTGTATGCTTGAAGATATCCAAATATCCTGACATTGTTGTTAGCAGCTGGAAAAATATTGGGATGTTAACAATATCTGCGTCTCTATATTATTAACAGCTGAGTGAATACTAGGATACTTACAGGAGCTAGGGGGGCGGGGGTCTCCATCCTTCCTAGGACTCCTGAGAATACTGAATGGTATTACACATAGCCATGTCTCCATCCTGAAACAATACTGTCTTCACGTTACTCTCAGTGCCATAAGGTATCACGTTATTTCAGTGTTGTGTAGAGTTGTGACGGGAAATCTGTAGGGGTTCGGGTGAAGTAGTGTTGGTTGTAGCATGTGTAGAAGAAGTAATGGCTGTGTGAAAAGTAGAGAAGTTATTTCGGTTGTCGGGGGAAGGGAAGCTCGAGAGGTTGAGGACCTATCGAAGCTTCCGTAGGTCAACAACAGGTCTCCTTAGGATGCGAGGTGCGAAAGCTATCTACCTCCCGGGTACCTATTTACTGCCTGGTGATAAGTGGCACTAGGTGAATGGGGAAACGTGCACTACCAGATCAGTCCCGCCCTGGAATCGAGCCCAGGATCCACGATTGTGAGTCGGAAACGTTGACCCACTGTACAGCAGCAGCAGCTCGAAGTATTTTGACCGCGTAGATCACCCTGACGTTAGCTCTGCCTTAACGGTTGACTCTATATAAGGCCCCTCTGTTATTAACAGTTATCTGTGTGAAGGGTCATATCGACAGATAAGAGTGTATATCGGCTGGTATCTGATGATTGTCAGGTTTAAACCTACAGACTCCTCGTTCCTGTTTGCAGTGTCCGCCTAACACCTCACCTCTACAGCAGCACTCAGGTAAGTCTCTCTCTCTCTCTCTCTCTCTCTCTCTCTCTCTCTCTCTCTCTCTCTCTCTCTCTCTCTCTCTCTCCTCTCTCTCTCTCTCTCCTCTGTCTCTCTCTCTCTCTCCCTCTCTCTCTCTCTCTCTCTCTCTCTCTCTCTCTCTCTCTCTCTCTCTCTCTCTCTCTCTCTCTCTCTCTCTCTCTCTCTCTCTCTCTCTCTCTCTCTCTCTCTCTCTCTCTCTCTCTCTCTCTCTCTCTCTCTCTCTCTCTCTCTCTCTCTCTCTCTCTCTCTCTCTCTCTCTCTCTCTCTCTCTCTCTCTCTCTCTCTCTCTCTCTCTCTCTCTCTCTCTCTCTCTCTCTCTCATCCTTACACATATGAGCATTTCGAACCTTCACTTAATCCTCTCAAATGTTCTACTATTTCGAAAATATTATAACACTCCCAGTTATAGTGACTTCCTCCTTTCTTTCAGTTACAGTGATTTCATCCGCTTTTCCAATTTCAGTAATTTCCTTCTCGCTTCCCAATTTCAGTAATTTCCTCCTCGCTTCCCAATTAGTTACTTGTCTTGCCGCTCCGAAATAGTGACTTCCTCACCTTCTCCCAAATACAGTAAACTCCTCCCATTTTCCCAGTTACAGCGACTTCTTCCCATCTCGCAATTACAGTTGGGTTTTCCCCTCACAATTACGTCGACTTCTTCTCCTCTACCAATTACAATGATTTCTTCCCTTTTCCCAGTTCCTGCAACCTCCTTTCCCTCTCCCAATTACAGTCACTCAAAATCTTTCCTCACAGACCACTGTGTCACTGGCAACATCTCACCGCATACACATAAGTATATACATATATATATATATATATATATATATATATATATATATATATATATATATATATATATATATATATATATATATATATATATATATATCAATTTGTGCATGTGTATACCAATACATTTTATGAGCATGTGTATATATACATTTATTGTGTTTTGGTATACAAATACAAGCTCTGAGCATGCCTATATTTATACATTTGTAGTCCATGTATATATATATATATATATATATATATATATATATATATATATATATATATATATATATATATATATATATATATATATATATATATATATATATATATATATATATATATATATACAGAACATACATGTACAGAACATGTTGTTTATATATATGTGTGCACTGACAGGGCTCTTCATCTCAGTCTCTCTAGATAAGATATGGCGTTTTCTCAGTACAAGACTCCAGGTGGGGGGGGGGAGCAGAGATTCACTGAAACAGTGTCACCAGTGGTCCTAAGATGTTGTTTCACTCTTTCTTTCTCTCCCTCTCTCCTTATCTCCACCCTTTACCTACCTATATCTTTCTACCCTCCTTCCCTCCATCTTACCTCACCTCCCTTTCTGTCAGGAGCAAACATCCTTCCTCCAGCCCCCCTCCTTCCTTCATTCTTTCATTCCTTCATTCCTTCCCTTCGTATTTTCCTTCGGTATCTTTCGGTCGTTCTGTTTGGATTCCTCTCACAGTCATTCTAGTTCATCCTACCTCCATCCCTCACTTTAGTCTTTATTTCGTCATTCCCTGCTTCTTTGCCTTCTTTTATCTCTCCCTCACGTCCTCCCTCCATCTCAGCATACCCCTCCCTCTCTCCCTCCATCTTGTTACTCTCTCCCTCTTGTCTAACTGCGCTTCCAATCAGTTGTTCCATCATGCTTTAGTTATTCAATATCTATCTCCCTTTTCGTTTCCTGATGCTGGTTATCCGCAGTCTCACCTACTCTCCTCTCCTTATCACTCTCCCCCCCACACACACTACCTATTGGGCATAGTTTCTTTCACCCTGATGCTCCTGTTACCTAGCAGTAAATACGTACCTGGGAGTTAGACAGCGGTTACGGTCTGCTTCCTGTGTGTGTGTGGTGTGTGTGGTGTGTGTGTGTGTGTGTGTGTGTGTGTGTGTGTGTGTGTGTGTGTGTGTGTGTGTGTGTGTGTGTGTGTGTGTGTGTGTGTGTGTGTGTGTGTGTGTGTGTGTGTGTGTGTGTGTGTGTGTGTGTGTGTGTGTGTGTGTGTGTGTGTGTGTGTGTGTGTGTGAAAAAGTTAGTAGTAACAGTTGATTGATTGACAGTTGAGAAGTGGGTCGAAAGAGCCAAAGCTCAACCCCCGCAAGCACAATTAGGTGAGTACACAAACACACACACACAGAAACACACATACACACACACACACACACAGAAACACACACACACACACACACACACAGAAACACACACACACACACACACACACAGAAACACACACACACACACACACACACACACACACACACACACACACACACACACACACACACACACACACACACACACACACACACACACACACCTGCCTCATCACCTTCCACACTTGAAGTAACAACAGCATGTATCCTCACAGCCAGAGGGGAGACGACAGAGAGTAAAGATGGGCGGGAGACTCGCTGAGACGGTCCTGGCCTGGACGTGCGTGGTCCTGGCGGTCATCAGCTCGGCCTCCTTCATCTTCTACACCTGTAACAACTGCAGATTCAGCACGGACGCCTCCCTCATGGCGTGTGCCGACGAGTCCTGGGTCTACCTCCTGGGCCTCGTCTCGCTCCTGTTCGCAGGTCAGCATTGTGGGGATTGACTGTTGGTGATGTGTTTGGGTCCTGTGGCCGCTGGGGCTTGTCACACACTCGGCTGGTGTGATGTGACTGTTTCGTATATGTTTGACTTTCTTCTCCTCCCTCCTTGGTTATCTCTCTCTCTCTGTCTCTCTCTCTCTCTCTCTCTCTCTCTCTCTCTCTCTCTCTCTCTCTCTCTCTCTCTCTCTCTCTCTCTCTCTCTCTCTCTCTCTCTCTCTCTCTCTCTCTCTCTCTCTCTCTCTCTCTCTCTCTCTCTCTCTCTCTCTCTCTCTCTCTCTCTCTCACTCTCTCTTTCTCTCTCCTGTTTGCAATGACGAATGATCTGAGTGACACAATGTTAGCAGTGACTCATGTGATCTGAGTGACACAGTGTTAGCAGTGACTCACATGGAGTGACGCAATGTTAGCAGTGGCTCACATGGAGTGACGCAATGTTAGCAGTGACTCACATGGAGTGACGCAATGTTAGCAGTGACTCACATGGAGTGACGCAATGTTAGCAGTGACTCACATGGAGTGACGCAATGTTAGCAGTGACTCACATGATCTGAGTGACACAGTGTTAGCAGTGACTCACATGATCTGAGTGACGCATTGAATTTCTGGGTTTTACTTAATTATTAAAACCTTAATGGGTTTTCATAATTCTAATAAAGATTACACAGCCTAAAACTAGCATGGCGATACGTTTGCCCTTCATTTTAAATAGTATTATTCGAGCTACAGTTGGAAAGGCGGAACCAAGGAGCTAAAGCACGGTCCTGCAATAACGCTTAGGAAAGAGAAACAAAAAAGACATAGGGAATTCACTGATTCACTCGGGTGATAGGCGATTTAGATATCTAATGATCTGTCTCTGTAGTTGACATTGTATAAACTCTCTCTCTCTCTCTCTCTCTCTCTCTCTCTCTCTCTCTCTCTCTCTCTCTCTCTCTCTCTCTCTCTCTCTCTCTCTCTCTCTCTCTCTCTCTCTCTCTCTCTCTCTCTCTCTCTCTCTCTCTCTCTCGCTATCTTGTTTTCTGTATTTTGTAATCTTTTTTTTTCAATTTTTGCAGGAATTGCTGTTATCGGCCTAGCCATGGCTTTGTCGTGCTGGCCTAGCGGCCACACCAAGACCTCTCACCGTACGGGGTATCTGTCAGAGCCCACTTACATCGGTCAGCCGGATGTTGGAGTGCTCCCCACGACGGATTATAGTGGTCGTCCGGCTTCAGACCCAGGGCGATACAACGACCGGCCTGATGTAGATCCAGGGCGGCTGAACGGGTTAAATACAAATCTGGATATCGTCATTCCCAGGGTATATGTGTATAGGAATAATGGAAATGCGAGGTACTGAGATGGCTTCATACTCGTCCAAGCTGCAGGCTATCCTAACCCAGCCCCCAGGGCTTTGTTCGTCCAAGCTGTAGCCTACTCCAACCCATCCCTCAGACAATGCTCCTCCAAGCTACTACCAACCCTAAAGACATATTAATCAACTGTAACGTATCATCTATAACCCAAAGATATTTATATATATTTTCTCAAAATTTATATAAATATGAATTTAACGTATTTGTATAGTTAGGTCTAGGATTTATTTTAGGTTAGTTGTTTAGGTCCAGTTGGTAATTATTTGTATTTGTGGTACGTTATTGGGAACATTAAGAGCGAGATGTTGACGTTGGTTGTGATAGTTAGCAATATTTGCAATGGTTACACCTCGTTATGAAGCGTTGTTTTGCCACTGTGGGCGATGACATTTCTTGAAATGTCATCGATGAAAGATGAAACTAACGAAAGAACTTGAAAGATGACTAACGTAACAGATAATTGATATATGATCATTAGTATTTTTATTATTATTGCAACAAATAATTATTATTATCAGTATTCGTTTTTCTATTATTAAATGTGATTATTATTATTATTATTATTAGTTTTAGTAATATAAGTCATAGTAGATAAAGAGCTTTAACAGACAAAATATTATCTAAGCAACTAAAGCCTAATATCATCTTTGTATTTCTGTGCATAGAAAAATTTTGTAATAAGTGATATATTTATGTCACCACAGTAATAAGAACACAAGGAAAGATAACTCTGAAAAAGGCCCATTGGACCATGAGCCAATGGGCCCAGGCTCCAATGGTAATGTTACCCAGCAAGTTATATGGGGTATTTAATTAAATATTTAATATATAATGAAGTTTCTATTTTGCGATCAATAAAACCAATAAAAGATGTTTTAGAGAGTTTATATTAGTAACACAATTGTTAATTATATTACTATTAATACTGTGATCATTAGTATTAGGTAAAATTGGTGATTTATATTTAATATTGACATTACCGGTAATAATAAATGATTAATAATTCTTATTATCTGTAATAGTGTCACTATTGTCACAACATTGCATGGGTTGCCCTGCCTCGCTGCCAGTTCCGTGGTAATGTGGATACCTTGATACCTTCTATAGTATAGGAGGTATCAAGGAGTGTATATAGGGGTGCATAGAATACTCTATACACTCCTATACCATGGCAAAGGGACCGAGGGTAAGGTGTAACACCTTGTGTGGGTACCATGTTGATGGGTTCAGGACCTCGTGTGGACTCAGTTGAATCCCAGATTGCATTGCTTATAGCGTATTGTTGTCCAGTGGTTCAACCTACAGTTTAGACCTATTGTCTTATGTATGACCCTCTGTCCTGCGTGACAGTGAATACCAGCATTATCCTCACTTTAATAAGACTATTAAAATCCTCAGATTAGGCAAAATTGTAATTAATTTTGTCAATAAAGATGTTAATAATAAATAATAAGTGGTTCTAAGCATGTGTTTCGGGTTACCCAGGGTGTAGATTCGGGTCCTCCTTATGTCTCCAAGTGATTTTCTCAATAATAATATATTATTGAGAAAATAATAATAATAATAATTATTATTATTATTATTATTATTATTATTATTATTATTATTATTATAATTATCATCATTATTATTATTAATTTTATTATTATTATTATTATTATGAGAAAATCATATGGAGGAATGCGGGGATTTGAAACAGCGTTCTAGTGACTAATAGACGCTTGCTTTAACCCACTCGGCCACGATAGGACAAAAACTATTCAGCCCGCAAGTCCACTGGGAAAGTCTGGATGCCCGTGCCACAACCAGGGGCCTGATTCAGGAAGGTACTTACGAAGGTTTTTCTTCTTAGCTACGAATGTTTTCCTTCTTAGCGCCTTCCTGGCGGCTACGGCGGTATTCAGGTAGCTACACTAAGTGGAAAAACCTTTGAAAGTTCATTCCGGGATCTAAATGTGGTTTCGACCACTCGTAGCTTTACGTAAACTGGATATAACTCAATTTTTCTCTACTACATAACACTGGGATCGATTTTAAGATTTTTGAACATAAACAAAAGATGATAAAAATTGAATCTAGTGAAGAGGAGTCCTTCGTGTTAATTATATATGCATTCTCTGCTTGAAACTTAAAGTAAAAATGTCTTTTATGATAGTAGAATTAGTTTTATAATAGCAAGATATTATACCAGTAGTTATTAAGTAAATAAACACTGGTGAACATGAAATATGAGAGAAGGTGATGAGCCCTGCCTGATAGGATCATTTACTATCACCAAATGCCCCTGTTCACCTAGTAGTAAGGGTGTACCTTAGCTATACATACCCATTTCTAATTTACTTAGTTTGGTTTTATTTTGAAATTAAATCTGGGTGAGACAAAATAAAAATATGCTGCACAAATGATGTTAGGTAAGAAGGGTAAAAATGTCAAAAACTTTATTCATTAAATACTTAAAGCTATAATTATGACTATATAGACTATTAAAAAAGAGAGAGGGAAGTAGGGGTCCAAGACCTCTTCCTGTTATACAATTTGGGTGTGGATCAAGTAATTATCAAAAGAAGGCATCATGCCCAGAAGGCTATGTAGCAGTAAGGCAGTGAGGTGAGGCAGCTACTTATTTGAGAAATGCTTATTTTATTTACCTTATAAGCTGAGGCAACTTATTTTATTTGAGGAATACTCAGCTGATTCCTCTACATTTAGCATGGAACAAATTTGTGTCCAAGACCTCTTCCTGTTACACAATTTAGTTTGGTGTAACCAAACTAGAAGTGCTCTACAAATCAAGGGACCCAGAATGTGGAATGACCTCCCGAATCATGTCAAAGGCTGTACCTCTCTCAACCAGTTTAAGAGTTAAACCAAGTACTGCCTAATTAACTCCATGTAACCTAACTTACCCCTTAAATGTCAACCCATGTCTTGCTATTTTTTAAACAACGCTGTTCACCAACATGTGCAATTGCTGATTTATGCTATGTTAACCTCCCTTTTTGTATTTTTTTATTCCTTCTTTCAACACAATTTATACCTAATCCCGATTACTATTAAGTTTTAGTCTAAGTGTTTTTTCCCCCCACACCTTGCCCGAAATGCTATGAGTATTAGTGGCTTTAGGTATTGTATGTACTAGCTCTGCCTATAAATCCAACATTATGTTTGTAAATCAACTGTATGTACTTTTCCTGAATAAAATTTATTTATTATTTATTTTTTAATCAGTAAGTATTAAAAGAAGGCACCAAGCTGGGAAGGCTATGTAGCACCATTGTGTGTAACAATAAACCATTTTTTTTTTCAACAAATAATGCAGCTGTATGGTAAAACAAATCCTGTCAGCTGTAAAAATATTGATGCAGTTATTAAAATAAAAAATATAATGAAAGAAATATTACTGGTTTATTTTTATCCTATCTTTTTGTACTGTACAGTATATCCAAGGAAGTGAAAAATTGAGACATAATGCACAATTTAATGAATGATTAGCATGGATTAGCAGTTCAAAAGAAATATGACTATTACATATCAACATGAGATCTTAATGATCCATGGTCAACATGATTTAATAAGGATAATACAGTACTGTATTTGTAATAATACAAACTATAATTTAAAATCTTTATTACTGATGATTTTTATTAAGAAGATTAGGTATACACAGCAATGTGCTGCTACCCCATTCTATATGGAATATTACACAGTGTAGATAAAAAACTAGCTATAAGTTTATCTAATACTCCCATCTCACAGGATGGTTAGACATACATGGAATCAATTTAGAAAATACCAGCCTCAATACAAAAAACAAATCAACTCTGACTAAACAACTCTTCGCGATTTTCACAAGAGGTAAGCATTGAATCATGGAAACATTATATTATAATTACTCTTACCAGTTTCTACAAGACTCCTCTCAAACAATGTATTTTTTAACATGTTTAGGTATACACAGCAATGTGCTGCTTCCCTATTCTGTATAAAGGACCACACAGTGTAGATCAAAAACCAGTTACAAGCTCATCCAACATCCTCACCTCACAGGATGGCCAGTCATACATGGAATTAGGAGAGAACAAAATACTTAATGCTGATCTATTAGCCTCCACTGGCAAAATCTGGGTGCAGCACAAGAATATCTTCCAATATTCCTGAGTGTATGAAGTAATTACAGAGCTCAAAATACCTCATACCATTTGGTATGAAGTCACTGATAACAGGATAATCACATATATAGTGTTGGAGAGTATGTTCTCTCAAGTAGGACTGAAAACAAATGTTTTTTTTTTCCACCAAGAGGGTTATAAACCCATGGAACCGCCTACCCGCTGAAGCCGTAAATGCCAAATTCCAGCTGAAAAATATCATTAAGACAATTCGCGGGCCCTTTAACAAGCCGCCGGCTTTCTGTCCTCGTCGAGGCCACTAGATAGTTAGTGGCCCTTGGGTAAATTCTGTAAATATATACAATAATTGTCAGCGCATCTTCCGAGCAACAAGGACAGCTACACAGTATCTCTTAGAATTACGTAGGTAAACAACAAATGTAACATATTTGTTTACTACAATGTCCGTGCTGCCTGTAGAAATTGAAAAAAAAAGTTTTACTTCGAAATATACTAATTTTATAAGAAAATTCGACGTAAATAGGAGGCAGTAGAGCTCCGATAAGCCAGCGCTAAATCTTCAATATGAAGAATGTTGCTGCTCTCTGATTGGCCAAACGAAACACAGTAGAAACACAAACTCTATCGGCACAAAGGTGAACCAACAAATTTCTTCCTAAGTGGACGTACTTGAATTACACCTAAGCATCTTCTTAGGGCACACTTAGGAACCTTCGTAGCAAACCTACTTACGAAGAAATGCATGGAGCTTCCTGAATCTAGGTCCAGGTATTTACGAATAACCCGCCTACATTCTGGCCTGTGGGGTAATGATCTTCTCCACCTCTCGCTCTTCCTCAGAACACAAGAAAATTTCTCTGGCGTGGTATGCCAATCAGACCAATATTTGGAGCACTGTGGGGAGTTGAGGCAAGCGTCTGGGAGTCACTAGAATAAGTTCTAATTGGCATTAGTGCCTAGTAGCGAAATGCTAACATTATGTACTTGACGGAGTACTGTACATCCAGACTGGCGTCATCCAGCCAGTTGTGCTCTTGAGGGGAAAACACAACACTCTCGTAACTTTTATCACAGTTAATTTTGGAAACAGTATGAAACTAAAAAAAAGTATTGACACATGAAAAATTAAAATGATATTATAAATGGCTTATAACACACAACAGCATTTATTGAAACAAAAGAATCTGCAAAGTTCTTCAGAGAACCTCTGTACTTTCAAATGGGGATGTTTGTTTGTTTGTTTAAACGTTAGCAGTCAAACTTATATTTTTTTGTATTTATTTTTACATGCGGACATGCGAATAAATACAATAAAACAAGAACAAAACAGAACACAAATACAAAGGCACAAAACAAAGAAAGACAAATACACTAAATACCGACCTGAAGAGCCGACAACAAAAACACAACAATGAGCATAAACACAAAGGAACACAGTAAATATAGACAACAAGACAATACAGGAGGGTAATGGAAATAAACAAAAAACTACACATAGCACAAAAATCACAGTAGAAAAGGAACAGTGCCAGACGTGTCGTGCAGTGTTAAGCGTACAGGCAAGCATGAGGAAGGCAACAGATTACAATAATCACAAAGGCACAGTTACAAAGGACAAAGGCACAAGGTTACAAAGGACAAAGGCACAAGGTTACAAAGGACAATGGCACAAAGTTATAAAGGACAAAGGCACAGGTATAATTTACAAAGGCACAAAGTTATAAAGCACCAAATACACAAAACATGGGCCTGAAGGGCAGACAACAAAACAGTAAGCACAGCAGTACAATGACAAAATACCCTCACCCTCACCCAACAACCCAACCCGTGAAACAACACAAAACCCTGAAAACCACACAGAGAGGTACAACACATAACACCA